TTTTTTTTGGGTGGTTTTTTTTTTTTTTTTCCTTTTCTTCCTTTTTTTTTTTTTTTTCCTATTAAAATGTAATAAGACCGCTCTTACTTTTTCTGCCAAGTCGATTACAAGCTTTTTATACAAAACAAGCAGCTCTATCATTTAGTTCGGAAGATGAGCGATGATATCCGTGAAATTAAGGACAAGTTGAGACATCAAAGAGGGCAACAGAAAAAAGACTTTTCTGCTAAGGTGTTGGATGTAAGTGGCTATCATGAATATATTATAATAAATAGAATGTATTTTTTGCTTAGTTTTTTTTTTTTATAGGATATATATACTGGCGTTGTGAAACGTCTTTTTCCGTTTCATGTTTACCCCACACAAACTATATTAAAGGATACCCTTAAGGACTACCTCAACAATAACTTCCACGAGTTTATGGTTAATTTAAACGAAAGTGAATTTACAAACAGGTTCTATAGAACATAGTGTAGTCAGGTATGTAATAATCATTTATTTAAATATTTATATACTTGTACTTTATTAGTTTTTTTTATCTTTATACTAATACTTTTTTTTCCTAGCTTTTACAAAAAATGAAGAATTATTGTGGAGCAGTATTGCAAAATGTTCGTTCCTCAGTTTGGAAGGTATATGGTCACGAAAGATTACCCTCCTTAAAAAGCAAAGCCAGTACCAATGATATAGTCAAATGGAAGGAAAGTCTAAACGTTTATAGTTGCTATTGTGCTCTTTTTGAGCAGAATGATGACAGTGTCTTTTGGGTTTTGGTTATAGCAAGGTGTGCCTTCACCACGGTTGCTGTTCCTATATTGATTAACCAGCATTGTGCATTCACACTGGCAGTATGCGATATTCTACTTAATCCCCGGTCCACAAATGTTTTATGTACAGAAAAACGGATAAGGAGACGTATGGATCAATACTTGGTAGATATTTGTCATAAATCGTAGTAAAGTGATAAATAACATTAATATTAACATTTATTGTTTATATTAAAGAATGATTTCAACAACGGTGGTCCTTGTTATGATTCGGCTGAAACAATTATGAGTGAAGAACTTTCTGTGGGTTCCCAGGATGATGATGAACAATCTTTGCCCGATCATGACCATGCATCCCAAAGTTCAATGCTTTCTCAAGAAGAGCAAGATGAATTGTTTGATACTTACTAATTTGTAGTATCGATTCAAATTTTTTTCAATTATGCTTTCTATTTGTATTGCATTTATTATGTTATATATATAAATATTACATTAAATATTAATAATTGCTTTTTTAATAAATTTATTGACTACGCATTAAAAATAAATACAAATAAAATTTTAAAATAATCAATTATAAATGGATATTCAAACAATTATCATTATTATTTTGATCTGATAAAATAAAATCTTGATTAATATTGTTTTTTGCTAATATCTAGTAATCGAATTCGATAGCTATCGATTGTAATCGAATATGTTATATATAAAATTTGCTAGTAATCAAATTGATATATATCGATTGCTATCGAATACATTATATAAAATTTGCTAGTAATCGAATTTGATATAAATTGATTACTATCGAATATGTTATATATTGAATATATTTTATATCGATTACTATTGTAATCAATAGTAATAAGCAGGAGTGATTATTATCGATTTATATCCCCCGGGTTAGTAATCAATATATATCGGCCTATAAAATTTCCTGATGCTATTAGAATTTAAAGCCCTATATAGCCATTGACAGCCTGGTTATTAGTACTACTTTCTCTGGTTATATCTTAGAATATTTCTAAGTTTTAGTGGCTAGTAATCTTTGTACAGGGCAAACAATTCTTGTTACACTCAGCTCATACAAAAAGGACAATAGATGCCAACCCCAATTTTGACCTATTGCTAAATCCTTATAGTATCTTTGGAGGCTATTGAATTTAAATTCTGTTAAGCACTTATTTATTTTATTAGTATTAGAATTACATATTTTATTAGACTTTTTTCTTTAATGACAAATAGATCTAGTAATGAATTCTAGAACCATTATACTCTATTTTCTTAAATAAACAAAAACTTCTAATTTTATTATACCCAAAAATAATTCTTACAACTCTTAAAACCTTCTACCTTTATTACTTCCCTCCATTCTATCATCACCCAAATTAAATACTGGCCAATCCACCCAATCTTCATCATCAAAATCTAAATCTAAAATCTCTTCTTTCTCTTCAACAACTTTTCTTTCTCCTTTATTTTTCGATCTAAAATTATTAAAATTACAATATTATTATTATTGGTATTTTTAATAATATTGCTATATTATAATAATACCTCTCTTCTTCATCATCTTCACTTGAATCTCGAATAGTCATAAAACTATCAGCTTCAATTTCTACTACCCCTTCCATACTATCTTCTTCTTCAATCTCTTCTTTTTCACTCTTTTTCTTCATATTCTCCCTATAATTAAATCATATATTATTTAGTATATAAAATTAACTAATAATATAATTATTTAATTACCATCATATTTCTTGTATTTTCTGCTTCTAAAAATTCTTCTCATTATTTAAAATCTCCTTCTTCTTTTCTAAAATCAACTTCTCCTTTTCCAAAATATCCTTCTCCTTTGTCCAATAATCTTTTCTTCTTCGCCAAAACAAATTATCTTCTTTCATCTCCTTTTTCAACTCTTCCCCTAAAACTATCTTTTCTTTCTTCAACTTTGTGATTTGCTTTTTCAAGTGAATAC